ACCACTCCTGTGCAGAATCAGGACCGGATTGAGGAGCTGAAGAAGTTCATCGAAAAGCATCGTCACCACATCCGGATGCTGGAGACCATACTGAGGATGCTGGACAACGACTCAGTGCAGGTGGACTCCGTCAGGAAGATCAAGGTGCGCTCATGTCTTCATCAAACAAGTATCCCAAATATTTGTTGTTTTTGAAATTGGAGGTGCAGCTTATTTCCTCTTTGCCTTCCTTTTCCTTGTTAAAACTGCACACAATTTTCTTTTCAGAGCATTGTCATCATTCATAATATTTCTATTGACAGCCTGACTGAGCCATGTAATCCATGTTTGTATCTGTCCTGTCTTTATAAAGGATGATGTGGAGTATTACCTGGACTCGTCGCAGGACCCAGACTTCGAGGAGAACGAGTTTCTCTACGACGACCTGGACCTGGACGAGCTCAGTAAGTCCAGAAAGAGCTGGAGTTTATTATACAGCAGTGTCTTTGTGTGCGGCAAGCAGGAGAGAGACTCGTTCTTTGACCGCAGTGGAAATCGTTTATGGAAGGGTAGTCTCTGAAAAATATAGATTCAACAGAAAATGATGTTGCATCAAACATGCTGTGCAAGCTGTTTTTCAATACATATTATCTTCTGATCTTCTGCGCTGGAGTTATTGGGAGTGTTTGGCTCACACAAGTCAGAAACACCCACTTGAATCTTATTTGACCAGTATAATGAAAAAGAATAATGTTAGTGAAGCCTACTCTTAGACATATTGACAATGGAACAGGCTGTATTGCCCCTTCTCTTTGTTTTGAAATGTCCTTAACCTTAATGGGAAAACACTAACCTCACTAACCGTTATGATACTGATCATGCTGTCTGTGTCTCCTGCAGCTCAGACGCTGCTCGCCACCTCCCCACCCGGACAGCTGGAGGACGAGATCTTCCCGCACTCCAGCAGCACCCCCACCTCCACCACCTCCTCTTCACCCATCCCCCCCTCGCCTGCCACTTGCACTACGGTAAAAATAATCCTCTTGCTGTCAGCACGTCAGTTGTCTTTTTTCACACCTTTGAAATCCATCAAATTGTGTTCAAAGGAGTTTGTATTAATTAGAATAAAAGGGTTCGTTCCTAGGGGTGCAGGAAATCCTTAGAAACACTGAATTAAATGGTGTTATAGTGGTTTGAGCATTTTAATATAAAGTGCTATTAACTGAAATGAAGATTCTGTAGCCAATTTACAAACAGGACATATTATGCATTCAAATAAAGAGGAAACCCACTTTGTTGTGTTTTCCTTTTTAAATATGTCACCATCCTAAATAATGCTGTCATGAATCAGAATTGTATTTATTGAAAGCACACTAACATCTTATTTACTGTGACTCAGAAGGCAATCATCAGTATACTGTATGTACTACTTGATGAACCTTAGCGGTAAAGTGCTGGAAAAGCTTGAAATTCATCTTGAAATGTATCTTTAAATGTTTGAAAAAAAGTGCTTTGACTTCGTTCTTACTTTGGAATTCAAAACTTTTTCTCAAATATTGGAATTTGCTCCTTTTATTCCTCAATAAATATGAGTCGCTTAAACCTGGAGTCACTTCAGGCAATAACATTATTTGTTATGCACTCGTCAATTTTGAGAGTTTTTTTGTTTTGTCTTTCAGAATATTGCAACAAAAAAAAAATCGAAATACACAATTCATTTTTTTCAGGGATGTCCCGATCACCTTTTTTTGCTCCCGATCCGATTCCGATCATTTGATTTTGACAATTTGCCGATACCGATTTTTCCCGATCTTTATGCAATGCATTAAGAGAAAAAAAAGCATTCAAGTTGTCCCTTAAGGTTATCTTTTTATTTAAATTGGATATTCTATCCAACATGGATATAGCTTCTTTTTTTCACAGCAGCATTGGATCAGTTCAGTTGTGCAGCATTGGATCCAAACAAAATAAAGCTTATCAGTGCTCGTTAGCTTACTGCTACAATTAGACACTGCGCCCTGCCCACTCTGTTGCCAGATTTGAGAGAAATAAGCAACCAGGTCTATGAGAACAAGCTCCAAAGAAGCAACACATACATGATGTTCTGTAATTTGAAACCAAAACTAAGGTCTCAGGATGACTTTAAGACTTGAACATGGTCATTTTTGTTTTGTAACATTGAATACAACATTTAAAAAAAGTATTTAAAAATAAAAATCCCGATCCCCGATTTTTTTTCTTCCGATCTTTTGAAAATCACGTGATCGGATCGGGACATCTCTAATTTTTTTAATTGACTAACTTGGTATATTTGCTTTTGTAAATGTCTCTTTAATTCACAAAAGGTAATGAACTGTTGAATAGTCATATCTAGTAAAGGGGCCCTATCTTCCTCATCTTCAGGTCCATATTTATATTTTCACCCTCTGTCTGAAACCAGAGCTGCCCTGATTGGTTAGCTGGCCGTCACTGATGTGATTGGTCAACCACTTAGAGATGTCCCGCCCCTTATCCTATCCATCACATTGTGTTCGAGCGCTAGCCAATAGAAGTGCTAACTTTAGGATTTTAGTCTTTGCAGACCATTTACATGCACACAAACCTATATAGCAAACTACAGGAAAGGGTCCTGGAAGGGAAACCCAAAGGGCATAACAGGGCCCCTTTAATTACACCGTTACCCTCTTTACCTTTACTGTCCTGTATTGAATGGGATTTAATAATACATATCTAAGGCTAAGTTCGCGAATACATTTAATGATCTAACATTGGTAATATCTGAACTTTTAACCTATCATTGCTTTCCCTTCCAGTGAAGTCAGGTCCATATGTAAAATAGAAATGTAAGATAATTGCCTTTTTATATGTGCGCTGCCATCTGCTCTTATTGTTCGGCTCTGCTGTCATTATATCATCTGTTCTTCCTCTGCGCCCACACAGAGCACTGAGAGTACTTATTATAGGGCTGATGTGTCTGAATAAAGGCGTGATAATATTAAATGCTGCTGACATGAAGTTGGCGTGAAATGGATGTAAAGATTTGGTTGTAAGCGGTAAAGCGTTCAGCAGGAAATGGGAAGTTCAGTGGGTGTTTTAACTTTGAATAATCTGCGGAAAGTATCTGGAAATGTTGGATTTGGATAACCGGCAACCTTTTGGTTAGTGTATTGTGTTTCGTTTTTTCTCATTCGTACACCGACTGACCATTATCCAATTTTGTTCTTCATTTGTGTTTCTCAGGAGAACTCTGAAGATGACAAGAAGAGGGGACGGTCAACAGACAGTGAAGTCGGTCAGGTGAGTCTAAAGACGGTTCATCTCGAAGTGACCATGTCAGCATCTTATCTTTAAATACAGAAAAAGTGTCATGAAGTCATGAACTTCATCAATCCGAGGTTTAATGTCATTTCTTAGTTTTATTTGAATGTAAAGTGAATATTTTAAGGGTTTTTGACTTTTGTTAGTACAGATTTTAAGAACTCACCTTGGACACACATCATTTGGGATGGACATTTGAACTTTTTCTAACTTTTTATTAAAACAAAACTAAAGTAATTTCTCTGTAAAATTACTATTTTACAGAGAAATATGCTTGAACTTTTTATTAATTATTAAAAATTATTCTTATTAGCTATAAAGGTAATTACTCCAATATGCATGCTGCAACTGTAAGAAAAGACTATTCTCTTGTCATATGATCTTTTCTTTCACTGTTATTATTTTATATATATTTTTTGTCTTTGCATGTCCAGGTCACATGTTGGTTTAAGGTTGTCTTCATTTTAATTACATTTTGGATCACTTTATTGTAAGCCAGTATACAAGGCCAATCACTAACATAGACTTAGGTGAACAAACTGTATCTTTTGATTTCCTGTAGAAAAACGTGACAACATGACAAACCTGTAAATGTCTTCTTTTCTCTTCTCCAGTCACCTGTGAAGAACGGAAACCCCTCCTCTTCATTATCCTCTTCCTCCTCCTCCTCCTCTTCTTCCTCTTCTTCTTCCTGCTCCTCTTCTTCATTCGTGTCTGGACTGACCTCGTCCTCTCTCGTCTCCATGGCGCCCATCACGGGGGGAGGACCGGGGGCCAACAGTCACCTGGGCAGCTTGGGGGGCCTCCTCTCCAACACGTCGGCCGGCAGCTACAGCAACGCCACCCAGCAGCCTCCGCACCCGTCGGCACAGCAACAGCAGGCCAAAAGCTTAGTGAGCTCCGCCCCCTCAGCTCCCATCTCCATCCCTATCAGCTCCACCAACAGCCACATGGCCTCCTCCGCCTCTTCTCCCCCCAACGCCATCACGCAGGGGCTCTTCACTTCCAGCTCCCAGGCCCAGTCTCTGTCGGGGCCCACGTCCACCTCCAACAGCCTGGGCCTCAGCCTGGGCCTCTCGCTGGGGAAAGGCGGCATGTCCATCCCCACCAGCTCCATGTCCGGGAGCCTGGGCCTGTCAGGGATGCAGGCGTCCCTGAGCAACATGGCGAGCCTCCTGTCGGGCTCCACCCCGGCCCCCTACGCTCAGGCTGCCTCCTCAGGGGCCATCGGCTCCGGCCTGCCCGGCTCTCTAGGTGGCATCGGCATCAGCCCCTCCACCTCCAACAGCGCAGTGGGCTCCATCGGCAGCGGCAGCATCACGGTCGGTGGGCCAACCTCCTCCTCGGGGGGGCTGCTGGGCCCGGCGCCGGGGCTGAGTGGCATCAGCTCCGGTATTCTGGGTCTGGGCTCTGGGCAGTCGGGGATGCAGGGGTCCTCCCTCATGTCGCTCAGCCCGGTCGGAGGGTTAGCGCCCGGTAGTGGAGTGGGGGTCATCGGGAGCAACGGAGGCAGCTCGGGATCAGCAGGGAGTGGATTGGTGGGGGGGAACATGTCGCTCTCCGGCAGGCCGCCCAGCCAGCAGAAGCAGAACGGTAGCACCAGTGAGTATTTGAGAATATATCCATACTTACAACAATCTGTTCACACAAGCATTTCAGCTACGCCTAGATGATTGTTATCGAACACCTTGTTTACAGTATCCAATATATTATATTTTAACCTCTGTGTCATAGTGCCTTTTGCCAGATTCCTTATCAATACACAGCCTCACTAAACATGCTTATTATAAACTGAAGCTAGTCAAGACTGAAATGCTTTCCTGATTATTGTATTTGCTAGGCATAATCGGGTAAAATTGTGTTAAGTGTACATTTCATGACTGTAAGATGTATGCTCATGTGCCCTTTCTAGCTTGTTGTTAACATTTATTTAGGCGGTGTACCCTTTGTGTCTTTTTTTGGCGATACAGGTTACAGCGCTGTGTTAGCAGACAGCACAACAGACTCCGCCCTCACCAGTGCCAGCCAATCTCTCAGCAGCCAATCCTCGTGTCTGACCTCCACAGCCAATCAGACGTGAGTATGATGGAGCAGGTTACCAGACAATTAGGGTTATGGATTATTTTCAACAAAATCTGGTGTTTCATTGACTCTTGTCCACTAAATTCAAAATGTGAAATTAAAACGATGATGTCAGCATATTTTCCAGGATTTTAAAATCATGACGATAATCAAAGTTAATATGAACAGCTGGAAATTCATTGGGTAAACCTTAATTTGTCAAACTTCAAATGATCGGAATCATTTTGATGTGATGATTAAGGCTTTGACAGTCACAAATTCATATTTTTTCTTAAAATGCCTGAACCCTGTCTAATAAATGTAGCTGACACCTAGGTCAGCGCGATATCAGAAAAACAAATATCCCCAATATTTTTTACTATATACTTTGATGTCGATATTGTAGGGGGGACTATTTGTGCTTTTTCTAATTACTTACACATTATTTAATAATCGGCGATGTGGATATAGTGATGAATTGGGTAAAGGGAAATAGCAGAAGTGTCTAGTTAGTTCCTATAAACACATCTGTTTACTCAAATGCAGCCTTTTAAACCAGGAACAGACACAATATTCAATATGTATTGTATATTCAAAAAGACAATCTCTAGTCTCACATCGAAATATCGATATATTACCCACTTTATCACCAAGCTCTACTGACATCCTCAATCCATAAGCATTAACAACTAAACAAGTACATTTTCTTACCTCGCTTACCTTTTTTATTTAGGTATTTTAATGTTGTCCCCCCTTCTCACCTCTTCTCTCGTCCTCCCCCTCTCCCCAGTAAGGACACTGGTTCCAGTCTGCTGGGCTCCATCTGTTTGTCGTCCAGCTCCCCGTCGCAGGCCTTCTACAGCGAGGCCAAGACGGTGAGCGGCGGCAGCCTGCTGAACGGACCCATGTCCTACTCACAGTCCTCCGACAGCATCAAGGTGAGAGTCTGACCACACACACACACACACACACACACACACACACACACACACACACACACACACACACACACACACACACACACACACACACACACACACACACACACACACACACACACACACACACACACACACACACACACACACACACACACACAGTGCCCCATTTAAACCTTGTGTTATTACGCGCTTCTCATCTACATAATCCAAATACAGATTTCATTATAAAAGCAGGTGTAAAGGGCGTCACACACATATACAAACACTCCATTTTACCATTCTACAGCTACAGGATTATGTAGACACGATGAGTTGTTTTCGTTACGAAGATTTAATATTCCAAATCTCCACAGACTGTTAATTTACATGCTACTGTTTCTGCCTCCATTATGATTTAATTAATTCTGACAAAAGTGAAATCCAAGCGGGGATTGTTATTGTTATCATGGCCTCATTATGAGTGCTGATTTACTCTGACAAAACTTAAGAGAATTCTAAAAACATTGAGGTGATGAAAGCAGCAGAGACACGTTGTGTTTGTCACCTTCAGTTGACCTACAGGTATAGGAGTGTACTGAAAATCGTTCACCAGAAATGACTCACATTTTTGAGATGAATAACTGACTGAATAGGTTTAAAGTATACATATTGTGTTATCAAATGTATTTAGAAAGGATTAACATAGATCTTTCTGCAATTCCGTTTTCACACAGCAAGCTATATGTTCATTGTGGGACCTTTTTATATTTATAAATGTTAAGTCTTTTAATGTTACCAAACTATAATCCACAGATATCTAAAGCATAATTAAATATGCATACTTTTGAGTACTTGTATATGTAAAAATATTGTTTATGATATGTATTTTTTGTATTATTGTTTTTTTCTTCTGTAAAAAATGAATGCCAAAACAGGTAATTGTATTTACTTTAAATCAAATCTAAAGAGTCTCAATCCACTTCATTTGATTAAGATTTAACAATGGCTCCCCGTGTTCTGAGAAAGAAGATCACAATAAAGTTACGCAGATCTGGATAGTCTAAAATATATTTCCTAGAAAAGTCCTACATATAACTTTTCTTTTACACAATGGAAATGTTGCTAATAAATGCTTTAGTGCAACTGATATGATATGTTAATATCAACCTCTGATAATGACCATTTGTAACCATTAGGGATGGGTATCGTTAGGATTTTATCGATACTGCTTATCGGTATCGGTATTTTTCGATACTCTTATCGATACTTTTCAATAATTTGGTGCTCAAAATTATAGACATGAATACAAGATGTGAAGATTACACAGTAATTATATTGTAATTTTCTTGCAGAAATAACTGTATAACTTATACATTAGCTTCTCAGAAGCAATGAAAGGCCAAATTATTATAGGTGTAGGAGCTCACATTAACACACTGTCAGTGTTAATAAACTAAAAAAAGACAAGGTGATGTGCCTGCAAGACTTCACTCAGGTAAACAAAACATATTACCCGTGCGCAGCAGCTAACCTGCCTGCGAGCCTTCGCTCAGGTCACATTTACACACGGCGCGGCTGAAGCCCGCTAGCACTAGCAGTATCGCAAGCACCGTTTTAGATTCAATGAGTGTCTCGTTTGCAAATAATTCATTAAGTTGCTTGTGTTACCCCCTTTACACACAACTAATTGAGTACATAGATTGCACCTTGCACTATCGCCACTACATTTTTTTAAAGTGCACCCAGACCTTCGATCGCTTCGCTCTGTCCGCCATGCCTGCGGGAGTCTCACAACAATAATAAGAGCGCTGTTGAGAGACATGACGAGTGGCATTTACAGTGGCCAATCAGAGAGGTCTCAAACCGGATACATCACACGGGATGAGGGTTCCCAACCAAACAGAATGGTTTAAAGTTAAACTAAGGAAGTAGATGTAACACATACCGATAGCAGCACAGTTTGTCCAGCGGCTTAACGGTATACCGATACCGTCCAATCAGGTACCGTTATTGACTTAGTACCGGTTCTCGGTACCCATCCCTAGACCATGGTTGCTGAATTTTACCTTAATGTTATTGTTAGGCTATACAAAATGTGCAATTTTTTTTTGTTGAAAATACAAACAAACGCAGTAAAAGTACTTTTCATGGACACACAATCCAGAAATATATTTGCTGTATGTTTGGTCACATGGTGTAGTTTATGTTACCACAAAGGCATCTTTGAGGTGAGGGGACAGGAATAAACAAACTACAAAAACATAAAGGGAAGCCGAAATGATACGTACAGGCAGGTACCAAAACTGTGCACACACTGTCTGGCAGAATCTGTTTTCCCATGAGCCTCCTTGTCTGTCCCCATCAGCCCCAGGAGACTCTGAGCAGCCTGAAGTCCATGGCCGAGCGAGCAGCACTCAGCTCAGGGATGGAGGGAGACGTGCCCTCCCTGCACCTCACCCCAGGTAACTCACTCACACTCACACACACACACACACACACACACTCACACTCACACTCACACTCACTCACACACACCTTAATGAAAGGAAAGGGTGGCAGGAATAGAAAGGCTGTAGTTTAATGGAACAAAATGTCATCTCACCTCCCACTCTCAGCTACTATGAACAAAAACTGCTGTAGATATTATCATCCTGACTCAACTCCTCTCTCTTTGTCTCTCTGACTTTCTACTCCTCCCCCCCTGCACTCCCTCGCTCACTCCCTTACATCCTCACCTCCTGTCCTACTACTGCTTCCTTGCTCTCTCACTCCTAGTCTCTCTCTCCTGTCTGTCTTCAGACATTTTCCCCAGCAGCACTACGGCCCAGTCAGGCCCCTCGTCAGCGCCTCAGCTCTCGCTGTCGGAGGTCAGCATCCCCCCGTCACTGGGGGTGTGCCCGCTGGGGCCCGTCCCCCTCTCCAAAGACCAGCTCTACCAACAGGCCATGGAAGAGGCGGCGTGGACGCACATGCCCCACCCGTCCGACTCAGAGCGGATCAGGTGTGCTCATATTTCCCTGCAGCACAAAAAATGATATAAGAGATAGCTAACGCTCATGACAGAGTGCAGTGTTGGCAAAGTTAGAAAAACTAGTCTTTATAATCAGTCAGAATTGTGTTGGTCAGCCATGATGAGAGAAGTACTGTGATTCTTTACTCAAATGAAAAAACTCACCCACAAAATCCTAAAATGAAGAAAATGAAATCTGATTTAAAGTAAAAGGGACAAAAAAACCCATCCATTAAATGTAAGGGATACATTCATAAGAGACATGGTATTTTGAGGGCCATGCAAAAAATGTTTAGGCACTTGGTTTGAAATAGTATACAGTACTATATAGTATATATGTATTATGGAAATCAGTTTTTACTCATAGTTAAGGCGAGACACGGCAGGCAAAAACATCGTTTTTCAAGCACTGGTCAATTTTGAGATTTTGTGCTATTTTGATTCTATAACATGTTTTCTTTCAGGCTTTTGGAAGGAAAACGTACAAAATACACATTTAAGTGTTTATTTGACTATAGTTTGTCTATTTGCGTCAGTAGATTTCTCCTAAATTCACCAAAAGTTAGCTTTCTAACGTAACATAAAGTACCGCGACCGCTGTGTGCACCATGTCAACAGAGATATCGTTAGAAAGCTGTGTCTCTCCTGCACAATCTCATCGGATCCAAATATGGTCATTTCCTTTGTATCAGCAACCAATCGTGAAAGCACAAAGGGGTCTTAAACCAAGAAACGAAATCTCATTGGCTGGTGTCAATTTCAGACAACGTGATTCGTTCAGATGCGTCACGTGGTGTGCTAAAACACTTCCTGGTTAGCTTTCCGCTAGAAATGTAAATCTCAAAATGGCAAAAGAACGGCGAAAAAAAAGTTTACAGAGAAGATGACAACAATAATCCCTTGCACGAAGCAAGATTATACAAAAAACAAATGACCCCGAACATGAAATACCTTCACGGAATGCGTCGAGGCGCAAGCTGTCATCCAAAGAACAGGAGGGCTTAGCTAGCGCCTCACTGCAATCTTTAAAGGTCGTTTTCTCAAAATGAGTTTTTTTTCCTACTCTGAGTTCAACATTTCAACTTCAGTAGCACGTAGACACACCAAACCTTCCAGTTATATTCCTATCAATATTATGAAGGCTTTTACAGAAGGGTTTGTTCATATATCATTCATAGCCTGAATTATATCAACATTGTATACCTAAAAACATGGCAAAAATTGATATTTTAGGGCTGTTGACAGTATTTTCTGATTTATGGAGTGATAAAAAGAGATATCCAAAATCCCTTCTGTAAAAGCCTTAGATACTAATATGACTACAAAATGAAACAAGAATTTTGAACCTGGCTTAATCGAAAATTCAGATTTCGATTCCTGAAATGTGTTAAAATATGCACATATTTGATGAGATAATATCTAATTTGCATATTTAAACATGCTATTTCAGAAAACTTGTAATAAAAAAGACAATTGCCTTATTGTAAGTAATTAACTGGAGAAATGTCTAGCTGATACCTTTAAGTTAAAAAAATTACCCTATTCACCTGGGGTGTCTCGCCTTAAAAGACAAATGTGTTAGAATTTATTCAAAAATTCAAATAATTCCAAAAAGATGATGAAAGCGAGTTATAAAACAAAAACACCGTCGTAAACACGGCCTCTAATCTAACAGTTATTCTTTTTTTATTTTGATTGACTTGTTGCTAATAACAACGCACATTTAATTTCCCTGAATTTGATCATCTTTACAAAATAAGTACAAGCCTCAATCATTGATCTGATTCGACAGGAATCTTTGAAACAACGTTTGCACTTAATTATAAAAATGTCCATTGTTTTTTTTTTAAATCTTTTGTGATTCTGCTGCTTTTCTTTGCCATCCAATCAAAGAGCTACTCGGTCTAATCAGTTGCTGCACACAGTTATTTAACAAGGGATCATTTAGACATCAACAAACAAATGTCTGAAATGTATATTTAGTCATTCAAGTCTCCCAGTAATGCAGCATACCTGAACACAATTAGAGAGCAGATCATTCAGGCGCCGTGTTACAGAGCAGTCAGCCCACACAGGTACAATTGACATTTAAATGAAAACACTCAAACCCTCTTGTCCCACAGTACCTGTTGTTTCACAGCCAGAGGAGGAGAGTGACACACACACTCTGAGATAAAGACACAAGGAGAATCTTTGTATCTTAATAACTCAAATTCATTTCCAGTATACGCACTCTCGAACGATTTTTTTTTTTATGGCAGTGCGACATGCGTCAGTCATGTGCGTGTTACTGGGATAGGATCATTAGTCCTGGTTCCATCTGACCTGGCTAACGTTGTAGCAGGCCAATGGAATCGGAAAGAACAAACTGGATGTGTCGCTGGTTTAAAAATACACAGTTTAGATGGAAAAACGTATTTTGGCCAAATGAGATCCACTAAATGTTCCTACTTTTCCCCCATTAGGAAACCTTTCGTCCGTCTGACCAATCGATCTGTTAATTAGTCCTAAACTGCTCCCTGAAATCATTGGCCTGATCGATATGTAATGCGTTGGTAGTTTTGAAACAGCACAACAGTCGGTAGTGCCTTAGATAATAGACTAACCGTTGCTTTTAATCTAAGTGGATCTATCTATTTATACAGAAACTTTTAAATTACATTTTGATTTGAACACTGAAATATCTCCACCTCTGATTATCCTTTCTGAAATCCTTGATTTTCAAGCTTTCTACGTCACACGTTCCATAAGAGTTATTATATATGTATTGATACTGGCCATAGCCAATAAAGAATGTTAAAGTAGGAACTCTATAAAAGTCTGTCACAGGTGATAAGGAGTGTGTGAAAAAATGTATATAAATCCTTTAGTCAGCATTGGTTGGTTCTTAGGACTACGAATTTGTAATAAAATAAAAATCTGGAGTTGTTGATTTAGAAAGAAGTGAGACCTCTGGCCCGCTGCACATCTCTGCTGCTGCACACTTCAGACTCGAGCTACATTAGCCACTAGCATTACAGCCACATTTACCACCACACCTTTGGACGTTGAGCTGCATTATGGGAAATGTAGGCACCAGGTTTTGACATGAAGAACAATATGTTTTTCACTTCTATTATGATTCCTCATGTTTTCTCTTTGCATCAGTATGACCCCACTAACCCCCCTCCCCTCTCTGTGATGTCACAGGCAGTACCTGATGAGGAACCCGTGCCCCACCCTGCCTTTCCACCACCAGGTGCCCCCGCCCCACTCCGACACTGTAGAGTTCTACCAGAGGCTTTCCACGGAAACCCTCTTCTTCATCTTTTACTACCTGGAGGTAAGTACTGTCAGAGACATGATGTCAACACAAAGAGGAGATACATGTAGATCATGATTCAGCCATCAAATACACCTCAGAGATCTCAGATACAACCGTTAAACTGCTCTTACTAATGCTTCTTTTATCTCCTGGTCCTCTGCGCAGGGCACTAAGGCCCAGTATCTGGCAGCCAAGGCCCTGAAGAAGCAGTCATGGAGGTTCCACACAAAGTACATGATGTGGTTCCAGAGGCACGAAGAACCCAAGACCATCACGGATGAGTTTGAGCAGGTCAGCTTCTCTTCTTTGACCTCTAGGGGCTTATTTGACCTTTCAAAGCATATTTGACACTTCACACAGAGTCAAACCTTAGTATGTTCGAAATCTGAACGTGTTGCCATGGAGGAGTTAACAATGAAGGCAGACTTGATATGTGCTGCTAAGGATACCAACAATTCAGGGACGTTTTGGGAATCGGTTGATACATTTATATTCATGACAGCTGGGTATGAAAAACACAATTTGATATTGCCCAGCATTGAGTTGGAGACGGTCATCAGAGCGTGAACAACACTTGATTTATAATGAAAGGTCCCAAACCATTTAAACACATGGTTTGTAATCTGCAGCACAGTCGTCATGAAGCCTGCTGAAACACAGAGTAAGGACTGCTTTTGGCACAACACGTTTCACATGTTTGGTACTGTATACAGTTTGCAGTCCTTCTTCCTTTCTTAAGGATTTTGATAATGAAAATGAACTGTACTACAGCCGTGATGCAAATCAGGGATAAACACTGACCCCTTCCCCGGTTTCTACCCCCATCATTCCTGATCCCTTGCTCAGACCAAGCCCATTTTCAAACTGGATCTTCCTTTTGATATCAGCTACACATCTGTAATGTTCAGTGACTGCATATCACCTGGTTGCGATCCCATTTCGGTGACAAAATCCATCCACAGAATAGAATCGCCAGCTAAATCCTTTAAACTGCTTTTTGTGGTAGTTCCTGTTCAGGTAGGTTTCTCCAGGACCTCATTTTGCCATGATCACACGCACACGTACGCACACACACACACACACACACACACACACACACACACACGCACTGGAAAAACAATACCAGTGTTGCAGCTGGTGTGTTCCCTTGCTTTTGACACAAAGCATGCTGGGAATAGCCCTAATACAGTAAAACCTTTTTTGTTTCTTTTTCATTAAATGCCTTTAATTCTTCCTCAGGGAACGTACATTTACTTTGATTATGAGAAATGGGGCCAGCGCAAGAAGGAAGGCTTCACGTTTGAGTACCGGTACCTCGAGGACCGAGACCTCCAGTGACCCGCATCGAGGAACACACACACACACACACACCCACACACACACACAGACGAAGAGACGGACAGCTGAGGAAGTGTGAGAGGGACAGACGGATGGAGAAGGCTGCTCCACCTGCTGACATTCCTCGATTTGCCCTCGACTCGTTGGGGACATGGACCCTGCCTCATCATCCTCCCCCCCCCAGCAGGGACACCTCCTCCCACCCTGTCACCCCTCCTCCTCCTCCTCCTCCTCCCCTCTATCATCAGGTCTTTTATTCCCATCTTTTCCTGAACCATATCTCTCTTTAAACAACAAGGCTTTGTTTTAGCACAAAGAATTTATAATCCAACTATCATGTGCTCTCCCCCCTCCATTTTGTTTCTCTCTTTGTGTTGGCTTTCAAACGTTATCTTCTATTAGCCCCTTTAAGAACCAAAGACGATTGGTTCATCATTAACTGCTGGCTCTAAAACAGGTATCATCAGCAGGGTGGGATTCAAGGGAAATGTGTTATTGGAGTTATTGTAAATTCAGCTAGATTAGGGAGAAAATGGTCATAGGTGATGTGAACTGACTTGAGATCAGCCATGACAGGAGCTTAACGACACGTAATATATCACGTGGAAATATATTTTGGTCTCTGCCATGTTCTCCACTATATCTAATAAACTGGCAACGAAGTGTTTGTTATTCAGGCAAGCGCGCTTCACATACCTAATAACGTTTTGCGTTATATCATTTTTCCAGTGGTGCGAGAGACCTTTTTGGATGACTTTTGAAAGTCTGTATTTAATTATTATTAGAAAAGCACCAACCCAGAGGCTCTCTGCTGCCTACCGTCATGAAGGAGTCATTAAAACCTTTTTTTCCCGTTCAAATATGTCACTGGTGACTTAGTGCTAATAAATAGCTTTTCGATTTAGGGTTTTGAATATACCAACGCTATCTAAACGTTACTAGGAAATGTGATTAATGCTATGCAATCAGTTTGTGCACAGAGAGGCATCACTTCCCGAAACATTCATATTTCAAATGAAAAGCGTGTCCCCCGTTATTATTTGTTTGCAGTGATACAAACACTTTCCTCCCCCCAAAGAGAAGCCCGTGACAGCGGCTGCATTTCAAGATTTGTGTCGTTAAGTTTTTGTCATTTGTTGTCTCTTGGAAGTTTAACCTATAATCAAATGCTCGGGTACAATTCTGTCAAAACGCAAGATCAACCTTGCGTTTTTGGTAATTCAGTAACATTCTCCTGCCCTCCTTTTTGTTCATCTCCATCACCTCAACTCTGCTGAGCGTCTCCCACTGTGCGGTGGCTCTATCGCAGACGTAACACCAACACATCGTCTGTTCACCAGCGTAGAAAATAAACCAGCACCGCCTGCCAAATGTGGGTAAACGTTGGTGGGAGGTGGCGCCACAGGCCTCTCGCAGGAGAAGTGGCTGCTGCTTCATTTTGGGATTCTTCCAGCTGCGGTGGTGTTAAAACCTCGCGCCCTGCTCCCTCCCATCGGGCAGAGGGGTGAGGTGTGACACTAAGAGGTGATGGTAGTAACTCGGGCAGTTACAACACTTGAGAATATGTCAGAAATGTATTTAAAATTCAGCATTTTTCCCACACACGTTCACAAATGTCAGCAGTTCACCTTGTTTCTTTAAAGTAAAGGCTCAATTCACCCAACTCACAACGAAGAAAAGGAATTTAGCAAATGTTTCCTCTACTGGTGTCTGGTCATGCTTATGGAGTTTTGTTTTTTATTTTCCAGTGCTTTGAGGCGATTTAGAGACTTCTGCCTCTCTTCAATATGGAGCGCCAGCCATTAGCTTAGCTTAGCATAAAGACTTGAAATGGGCAAACAGCTAGCCTGGCTATATCCAACGGGTACAAATGTAGCTTGACCCATTAACACCTTATATACTGTACTGCTTGTTTAGTTTGTTTTAAAACCAGTTTGGGGTTTTAAAGTGATTCTGGGCTTTTAAAGTGATTCTGGGCTATTTCCTGATTTGTTAAACTAACTTCCTGTTTTCCCAATGTTCCCATACACCACTCCCTGTAGAGCCACAAATGTTGTTGTGTTTCCCTTTTTTAAATTTTTTTTATTATTCATTTGACCTATTATTTCCAGTCTTTGTTGCCATCTCAAGCTAACCAGCTGCTGGCTGTAGATTAATCTAAATAGCAAAAAAGGACATTTCCCAAAACGTTGGGTGTATTTCTTTGTTTTTCAATGAATTGGTAAATAATGACATCTCCAGAATCAAACTCCTTAAATAACACTTGTTGTATTTCAAACCTGGAAAAGCATCTGCATGACTAGCTACCAGTAGAGGTTGAAGTGATGATGATGGTGTGTTTCTGTTGAACACTGAAGGCTCCAGCAGGGATCACAGTGAGAGTCGTGGGTGTCGATGCTAACAGCAGCTGGACCGACAGTTTGTTAGTCTCCCCCCTTCCTTCCTCCCTCCCTCCCTCCCTCCCCCACAAACTGAGCAACACCAGCACTGCTGCCCACACCTCCTCTGTCCTCCAGCTCCGTGTTTACACACTGAACCGTTTCCACTGGGCACACAACACACACACTGCCCTGTCCTGTCCTCACCACCACCAACAATTCATGATTTCTCTTTCCTCAATCCTAAACTTTTTTTTGGTTCACTTGACTTTTGATTCTCACAATTCCTATTTTCCGAACTCCTCT